GAGAGAGAGAGAGAGAGAGAGAGAGGAGAGAACGAGAACAAGAGTAAGACAAAATGTGTGGCTTCCCGCGACTATATTAATGTATTTTATGAAAAAAATTGCTAATTTTTTTAAATATGTGTATGAAAAGTAAATGTACAGGTAATTTTACTACTCGAAATAATTTAATGTTGATATATTTTGCACACAAATTATTAATATAAATGATTAATAAACTATTAATATTGAAAAGCTATCGTTCTCTTCCCGTTGACAATTTTCTCCGTATAGTTCTGATACTTGACTCGCTCTTTTCCCGCTATATTGTTTATAATAATATTTTTCCAAGTATTGATTCGAGCGTATCGAGAAACGATTTATTTCTGTGAGAATATACATGATACATGAAGGGGCGAGGAGAGTAAGAATATACAAGGCGAAATGAAAAGTTTCACGTAAAAGCTTCGCAACTTATAACACTTTATTGTATTAAAAGTGATAAAATTAGGTAGACAATAATTATACAATAATATATCGATTATTGATTCATCGATATTGAGTCATAATCGTAGATAACTTAGGTTCTTCCTGTATGTTATGTAACAAGTGAAATACTGCGTACGAATACAACAAACTGAAATACTTAATCCTATTTCTTAGTCCAGGTTTGTCTCTACTCGAAACGTCGATACTTGTAATTCTCTGTCGGATTGAAAAATGTGATATCTCAGTTTTAGCTGTGTGTCGAGCTCGAGAGCTACGCATACCGAGACAGAGAATAATCACATGCGACACATCGGGGAAATTTCTTCCGTGGCATCTTTTCTTGATTTTATATTGAATTTTTGCAGTTTGAAACGCTATTAATCAAATACGCGATATATTTAGTTATACCGGTAATGTAGCTCTTTCAAGAGTAAAGTATCGCCTTCGAATGGTTTGTGCCCGAAAATGTCATTGTTTCACGTAAAATCTTAGTTGCATCAACGTTCGATTGTGTGATTCGGTACCTTACCGTGCTTGGTAAGGATTACAATACGTTGCTTACACATTCGGCACGATCTGCTTTGTTCGCAGTTTTGTAACTCGACAACTTTGCGATTAAAGCAAAAGGTCACGGATAAAACAACTTGCAATCATATTTGTATTTACATTTGGCACTCGCACGATTGTTAAGTAGCGGATAAAGGCGCCCGTACTAACTTCTCTCGACTTAACATAAATAATTCATTATTATTATCGTTATCAATATCAGTATCATTTATAATTATGATTATCATTACCATTATTACGAAAAGAAAAAATTATTTTTTGAATGCTTCGTTAAGTACACAAAGAAAGATAAACGAGTGTAAAGGAGAATATAAAAAAGGCTTTTGCTTTCATGTATTGTCAAAGGCCTATATTCCATGTTGTTATATGCATACTTGGCACATTTTGACGCATTTAACAGACGCACTCTGTGCAGTGTCAAACACTGGGACGTTTGATTCTATCAGTTTTACATGTTATTCCAACTCGATCGGTATCAAAATAGCTATATTTAGCGTTAAATGTGATTTAAACATTAAGCCATTTTATTAGGCGTGAATACGAGCCAACCAAAGGCGAACAAGAATTTCATAAATGATTTAGTTTGCCGCGCAATGTACAAGTCGATCTTTGAAGGCGAATTTGAATCGATAGCATGAGCGTGAAAGTTGAAATATGTATGTACAGTGCGATAAGATATGTAAGTGTAAGTAAAAGTAAACAAGATACAAAGATCGAATACATGATTCGATAGGGATCGAATATGATTCGTTGAATAATGATTTCTCATTGCCTTGATATTCGTCAGAACATTGTCGCGGATGTGATAAGATAATCATACGCACATTATATATATATATATATATATGCATACATACATACCTACACACACACACACACAGGCGCGCGCGATGTGTGTGTGTGTGTGTGTGTGTGTGTGTGTGTGTATATATACACGTATCGCGTTAAAAATTTATTTCTGGTTGCAAAATATTGTAGAAATTAATCCAACCGATTGGGAATATACATATGTATACCAAGCCCATCGCGCCTAGCGGTAACACGCCGTTTGTACTTGCGATAATTAAAATTTGGCACAAGCGAGAAAATCGATATCATCTTGATCGCGATCCTCGTTGCACCGTAACGAAGGAAAAAATTACTTTTGAGATGTACGGTAAAGATGAAAAGATCTAAAAGCTCAAGAGTCGAAGAATTGACCCACGAGGAAAAGAATCGTTGAGGCCGACGACGACGTCGACGATGATGACGATGACGACGACGACGACGACGACGACGACGACGACGACGACGACGACGACGACGACGACGACGACGACGACGATGACGACGACGACGGCGGCGACGATGGTGACGATGGTGGTAATTGAACTGACGCGATTGATTGGTTCCGATGACGAAACGATACCGTCGATCTCGTCTCAAAGAGTGTCATCGGGAGATTCGATGTCATCCTTCGTCGTATTTTGGCGGCAGCGGTATACGTACGCGCTCGCAGACAGATCGTCACCAACGCGCACGCACTTGTAGTCTTCCGGACACTCGCAACTATGCAAATGAAACGAGAAAATTTAAATTGTCAGGGACAAATAAACGTGATGGAAAATTTCAACTCGTCTCGCGAGTCGCGATTCTCTTCATGTCACATCTTCCGATACTTGGCCAGAGTTACAGTTCTATCCATTCTCAACATCTTTTTTATAATTTTCAATCAGTTTTTATCAAAAATTTATCTTTATTATTTTTATTATTTTTACATATTACGAGTGAACCAAACCAAATGAAATTACTTTATTTAACTAACGGCTTCCACGGCTTTCTTTTTGAACGATCGCTTTATCTTTATTTTTTATCGAAACTTTCATCGAATTTTCTGACTTTGATTCTGTCGCGGCCGTCGCGGCGTGGCAAACAGAAAAGAGTATAAGAGATTCCTCCGCCGTTTCTCCGCGTGTCTATCTTTATCACTCAATTATCTCTCTTATCGGTGGCCGTTCTTGCCTCTCGAGGCACGTCGTATCGGTCAGATCGGTAAATGATTAATGACAACGGCATAACTGACTTACGTATTTTTCATAAAGTACTCGACGTTGCGCGTATACGGATTGTAAACCGCCCACCCACAAGCCGCGTTATGACAAATTCGTCTCGGCGTGCCTTCTTCAGCGCTGTCTTCCGTAGCTCTTGGAATCCTTTCGTTTCTAGAGCCCCGCAACAGGATACGTTGTAATTGCTTCTGCAATTAAATGGTACGAAATTTATGTAATTAAAACTTGTCTATTTGCATCGCATTGCATTTTCTACTTTCTTTCATTCTTTCTTTCTTTCATCATCTCATTATAACTGCGTTGTGTCGTACGGAAACTGGAGCCAAAGATTCATTTCTAAACGCGTTTAATTTTAACACCCTCGATCGAAGTATACGATTGAAGTTTATTTTGTATATACGAAATCATAAAAATTCATCGCTAAAACCACGCTAAACTAATTTGTGTAAACATTGTGTAAAACATTTGTACGAGAACCGTGTCGTTTTTTCTCTATCTGCAAGTTAACTTAAGATTTGTTCAATGATTCCGGTTGATCGCCTCTCGGAACGATATATCACCGTTGGCTGATATATTATCATTTTTACAATCATGCAGATTTGTATTTTTATTTAGAATTATTGCAAATTTTATTGCATATCTTGTATTCAATATTTTATATTCAAAAATAAAACGAGTCATATCTCGACAATTTTTTTATAAAATTCATCAAAGATATTTCTCTCTCGTACCTGTTTTCTCTTTCAAAGATCTGAGAAAAGTCTTTCTATTTCACGAGTTCTCGGGCGCGCGTGTATGCGCGCCACAAGATAAAAAGGATTATTTTCTTTCACTTATTAGTAACGTTATTCTTAGTTCAAGCGTTATCAAGTACGCATACGCGTACGCGCCTATGTATTTGTAGCTAACATTATTGCTAACATTATTGCGACAATTGCGACTGTTAACTGGATAATGGAAATGTGTAGGTACATGACGAGCTAAATGCTTAATAATTGCCATTGTAAAATAAAATATGAAAAGATTAAACTTTTCATAAACTTTTGGATATTCTTTGGAACTTCAAGAATATTGCAAAAAATTTTATGCGACTGTGACAAGTCGAGATCGAGGAGGAGAGAAAAAAAGAGAGATGTAGTGGCGCGTTAATCACTCAAGGCAGTAAATGATGATGCCCAAACGTCATTCATGAATCGATAATTACCAATACCACGATCTATATAGCTGCTCGTACTCGATAGCCTCTCGTGTCAAGCGTGATATCGCTCAAGTATCATTCTTTGAAAATCTTTAGTCGTTGTTTCGGTATATACGACGCAAGATTTTTATACAGATTCCATCGTGCGTGATGTGCGTATGGATGTGCGTGCGTGCGTGCGTGCGTGCGTGCGTGCGTGCGTGCGTGCGTGCGTGCGTGCGTGCGTGCGTGCGTGCGTGCGTGCGTGCGTGCGTGCGTGCGTGCGTGCGTGCGTGCGTGCGTGCGTGCG